CGTCAGGCTGGCAGGGGCCCTAACAGTTCTTCTGGGGTTTGTGGCTGCGGGTGATCCGCCAAACTGGGGGTTGTCGTTTTCTGGGGGCTCTCTGACAGGAGGTGTAGACTGGTAGCCGCACAGGATTGCCATGGCCCATTTCCCTCTGGGAGCCGTTTTCATGAGCTGATGGTCTGGGAAGGGGGCTGATCACCCATCCCAAGGCGCCTGGGGGGAAGCTGGACCTGTGGAACGCGGAGAACTCCTTCGCCAAGGCGCTGGAGGGACTCGCAGAAGCCTGAGGTTCAGACTGCCATGCCGAGACTTTGAATGACGAACTTTTTCATGTGGGGGTTGCGGCCCTGGAAGGTGGGAAAGAAATCCCTCTCCCAAGAAGCCCTCCGCCTGGTCTTCCGTGTCCGTGCGTTGCGCCGGGACCGGCGCTGGGACCGGTCCACGCTGGTCCGGTCGGGCGGCCGGCAAGGTGCAACCCTGCGACTATGTGGCGGAGGTGAACGGCGAAAGTGGCGTGGAGGTGGGCGGACCCGCTATGCCGCTATCGTCGTCCTTCATTGGATTAGAGCGGGGGGGGTATCTTACGAAGCCGCGGCTACAGGTGAAACCCTGAGAGACGGGATTTATATGGACAACTCTGATATGGAGAACTTTGGACAGGCAATGTGTATTGAATGCCGCCAGAGCTAAGCTGCCAGATTGGGTGGATGTTCCATGACTTTTCGATGCTTCTAATCCAGAAATTGGACGCTTCACCGTGATTCGGCTATAGCTGTTGATGTTCAATCGGACTTCACCGGGGTTGCTTGGTTTAAAGTGCATATGGTCATTCCAGCTGGAAGAAATCCCAAGGATCCAAGGATCCCACTTCAATGCAAGAAACTTGCGGGCAAACACACCAGGAATTCCAAGTCAGGGTGGTGGGGTTTTCTGGGCCGGGTGACCCAGTTTTCTCTCACTGTGGTGGGAAGCACCGCCCTGAAGTTCTGAACTTGGACTCCTGTTGAACATGTTTTTTTTTGCCACGTTTCATTTCCTTCGGTACTGCTGTGAACGTTCTACTCGTGCGGCCGATTCGATGTGGAACGGTCTGTTCGGTGGTAAGGGTTGGGAATTGTCTTCATCACATCCCAGAAAAGGCCAGGTTCCAACCCTCCTGGAGTGCTCAACCCTCCTCGTCTCGCTCAGTTGGTGGGCCGGGTCTTGGTTCACAAAAGGGTAACCTGATCAGAGTCTGGGGCTCCGCCCTCCATTTTCGCACCCCGAAATGGTACCGTTTTTGGGGTTCTTTCGAACGCCTCGTGCCTGCGCCGGCGCCGGCCACCGCAGGCCATGATGAAAGAGTTGCAGAAACGCTCCGCGGTGCGGCTGCGGATCTTGCGCTTCTCTCCGACCTTCCAGGCGACGCGAACCCATCGGCACGGCGCGAATCGGCCTACTTGGAGCAGTGCCAGTGCCCAAGTCTACTGGTTTATCGTGACATGTGTGGAGTTGGTTGGTTTGAAGCGAAGAACGTTCGTTTTTTTGGTGTGTGGGAGGGCTTTGGGTGTAGATGCTTGGGTGGGTGCCGTTGGTGGTTTGTTTCATGCCTTTTTTCCATTCCAAGCTTTTTCAACGGTCCAAATTGGCCAAATCCCATCTCTCTAAAAGAATGTGAAATAACATAACATAACCGCCACCAATTATGTTGAATGCGCTAGTTATTTGGCACACAGTAGCTCGCAAATTACTTGAAGCTGGGGTTAGGTCGAATTCTTGCAGAATGGATGAATGGATCCCTCAAAACAATCCCGATAAATTCCCTATCACAAGAAGGATTGCACAATAATGTCAATGAAGCCTCCAAGGATTCCTTAAAGAACGCAGAGATTGCCTGAATCTTCTAGCAGTCAGGGGGAGCTGTGTAGAAGCCCAACTGCCCTCGATCATGAGAGAAAAAGCTCAGGTTAGGTTGATTTGCAAAAGCCGCGAAACTCACCTGACGCAACAACAATAACTAAGCCCGTGCAACAAAAGACGGCACCACGACTTGTCTCACAACAAACTTGACAAAATCAACTCAACATAGCTAGGCTTTGCCCATTGTCCTGTCACCTGAAACATTGGAAGCCGGGCATGGCTTAGCTTTGCCGTTTTCGTACGCACCGTGCGTGTGCGTGCTTGCCCGTTTGCAGGTGACCTTCCCCAGCATCGAGCAGGCGGGAAGTTCCAATGGTGGCCAACATCCAGGGAACAGGACCTTCAGTCAAACCGTGTAATCCTCCTCCTCCGGCTATTCCACACGGATCCCCCCAGTCGCCACCTTCGACCCAATAGTGGCCGGTCGATACGGGTTTGGTTCAGACCGTGACAGAACTGTCGGAGAAGTTGGATGGCCCAACTAACAGGCGGTCCGCGTTGCTGGAGTGCACTGGGTGGCAATGGCCCAACAGTCCCAGCGGTCCCCTGCAGCGTCATCCCCAGGGCAGCCAGATTTTGGTTGTAACCTCTCCAGGGGGTCGAGTTTGGTTGGAACGTTCTCAAACCCTAAACCCTAAACCAGGGCAGCATGCCTGGAGATGGAGCTGTACCGATTTCTCGGGAGACACTCGACTCTCAAAGGAATGGTCTGACGAGGGCTACCTGATTTCGGGAAAGGTTCTGAACACTTCAGTCGGACAACATCGTTTTCACTGGACTTCGAATTGATGTGGACATTCTTGAGGACTAATTAGAGTGGATTGAGAGCAGATGGCACAGACCCCAAGAGGTTGTTTATTTCACCCCTAAAGAACATCTTCAGGCCTGTGGCATATCTGCTCTGTAAAAGGAATGGTTGACCTGGTTTTGTAAGCCCAAGACTCGTAGTACAACCATGGTTGCTAGGTACAGACCATTAAAACAACGGTGGGCCAGGGCTATCTTTTGGGGGAATTTGGGGAGATGTCATCCTCCCACCAGGTCCCTCTCATCAGGTTGGGGTCCCGAGTCTGCCACTCAGGGCCGCGTGGTTGGGCTCAAGTGCCCGCGGGGGTGGGTGCTTGGGTGGTTCGCCTGAAAGCTGAGTGAAATCATGGATGTTTGGCAAAAGCCTCAAACAGTAACAGTGCGTAGGTTCATGCCCCACATGTCGGGCAAGTTGTAGGCCCCACCTTGCACTTCCCTAGAGTTGCTGCAAGCTCCTTCTTGTCGCCGCCAGGGCGCCAGAAAAGGAGGGTGTCACTGTTTGAGTTACAAGGGAGCAGCACCAGGTCGAGGGACCATCCCGGGCTCCCTACCAAATTTGTGCCGGGCAGAGGAACTTCGCCACGGCCAATGTTGAGATCGCACATTTTCTCATCCTCCTGCAGCCCCGGGTTGGAGTGTGAAGTAGGCGGATGGTGTACACCGTTCACTGAACTCACTAATCGAGGAGTGCACCACGGGAAGCTGGATTCTATACTTATTGCTTTACTGACCGCTGCTCACTTGTTGTTGTTGTTGTTGTTTCAACTTTCCATCTGAACACCAATCGTTCCCCTCCGAAACCGTTCACGGTCATGGCGCCCGTCGCGCGTCGCGCTGTGGCGTTGTTGCGCTTGACATCAATGCCGATGTTCCGTGCCAAATGAGGTACGACCCACCCATGAACAATCACGAGTGTGGCCTGGTGATCAAAGAGATCGTGCCCCGCCCTGCGAGCTGTACGGCCGTGCGGAGATGCGTGCGGAGATGCGTGCGGGCGCTTCCGCGCGGCGGGAGAAGTCACCACGGGTGTGGTCGTTGAAATGAGTCTTAGCTGCTTTGCAGTTCCCAGACGCTCACTCCCTGTATGGCATATTGGCATCATATACTGATACACATGCCAGTCCCATCGATTGTTTGGGGTTGTCCTGCGCAATCCAATCCCAGTTTCAGACGACTCTGAGGCACAAAAGCACTGGGTGGGGTAGCCAGGGCGAGACCTATAGTGGTCCCTAAATAGATAGTGGCACGGTTTCCATCGGTTTCCACTACACTTTCTACGTGGGGATCTATTTTTCTATCTTTTGGGGGTCTATATATTATAGTGTCATTGGCTTTTGTTACTGTGCTCATCCTGCTGTGTTTGCTTTTCTCTCCTGCTGAACGCTGAAGAGAGAAGTGTCCTGGCCCAACCCTGGGTTGGTGCAGGAGAGAGCAGTTGAGTTCCGTACATTTCCCAAGTTCTTGAGAGTTTAAGATGTTACTTTGAATTAGATTTGTTGTAAGCAACCACGGTCACTATTCCACTACTAGTGGCTGGGATGTGCAAGCACTTGGCCATGTCTAGTCTAGAGGGCGAAAGTCTTTTGAACGCCCAGTGCGTGCAGTTGCAAGAGCACAGCACACACTCACTAGCTTGGTCTACAGCAAAGGCCCCAAGCGTGGCTTCGTCCATCTCTCGATGTCGATCTAGAACCGGGAAATCTTCAGATTCTGGCAGTCTCACCTTCCCAAAACGATCATTTTCGGGTCTATTTGATGGGGGTCACATGTCCTGCACCCTTTGGTTGCCTAAAAGCCCGCGTGACCCATGGCTCAAGTTGCGAATGGCAAGCAGATGGTTTTCAGAACTAAGCTCCATGCAGGGCGAGCCCTGGCGGAAGACAGACCTGAACAGGATACCAAAAGTACCAAAGGCCATAAAAGGTGCAACCCATATCTTCCAAGATCGAAGCAACCAATTCCTGCAGCATATGCTTCTTCATGCTTCTTCCAATGCTCTCTTCTGCCAGCGAAGTGACGTTCGCCCTAACAGAGGTATCTGCAGTATCCCACAGGGTTTGTCTCCTCTTACTGTGTCAAGCTAAGACTTGTAAGAGGTTTTGCTAGATACAAAGGACCATGAACATCAACGGCGCAACGAGATGCAAGCAAAGCTAGGTTTCTGTCCGTTTCTTCTTTATGATCGTAAAGGCCAGCGGGGCTTATTCTGGTCAACCGATAACTTAGGGTCTCCTGGTGCTTTGCTTCTTTTCTATCCCTGCATGGTCCTGCAACCTGTTTCAGTTAGGCCCCTCCCTTCAGCCCCCAGCACTCACCCTGCCCCCACGAGCTGAGCCCCACATGCTGCCATGTGTGCTGGGACTGCTCTCTCTCGGCGCCGTGCACGGTGCGCCGAAGCCGTATGTGGGGATCTACAACGCCTCCTGCTGGGGGCCAGGATTTTCACAAGAGATGTGTTGCAGCTCGGTTGCGGCGAAACGGCGTGTCTTTGGGCAGCTGCAGAGGCTTCGATGTTGTCCAAGTTGGGCAGGGGTGGTGGTTTGGTCGATCCTTTTTTCAGCGACTCGGTTGGGGCGAAGCGATGCGACCACTCGGACCACGCCACCCGGGGGGGCCGATCCACTCGGAGACTGACGTGCTGACCGAAGGACGTGAGGCTGGCTGGGATTGAAACGAACTTCCGCCTGCCAACAGAGGTTGAACTAGACTATCCCAGTTCGGTACCCTGGTAGGGTCCTATTTACGGTCACTGAACTGGTAAGCGGAAGACCACGTGTTTTTTTTTTGGGGGGGTCACCGAAGTGTTCAGAACCGAGGCCAACTCGTCCGATCGTTTCGAACTCGGCGAGGCGGGGTCGTTCAGGGGTGGCCACTTCCGGAGACACAGACCAAGGCAGTCTTGATCCTGAATCCTTTCTTCCTGGACCTACAAGGGGTGTCCAATGGAGGTCCCTTAGTGGTGTAGGGGCTTCCATTGGTGACCCCTTTGAAGGTGCTGGTTGGACACTTGAGGTAGACCACGGGGGTCTGCCGTGCTCCGAGACCGAGAGTTTGGGGTCTGCCCGCAGGGTCTGCCGTGCTTCCTGATCCTTAGGCAACCAAGCGTTTTCAGAACGTGGCATGGCCGCTTGTTGGGTGGACGGCTACTCCTTCGAGTACTGCTGTCCGCCCCCCTTAGGGGCTGCCCGGATGGAGAGGGTGTCGGATGTGTTGCACGGTCCGGAGAGTCGTGTTCCCGGTCGCCATTTTGCGAATGTTCCCCCCGAAAATGGGAAGGTGGACGGGATTTGGGCAGCGCCCGAATCCTAAGAATGGCTGCTCAAGATTCAGGCTATTGGAATCCTAGGGTGCTGATTGGATATGGCGAGAGAGGCCGCGGAGGCCTAGGGCCAGAGCTTGTAGCTGCATGACTCTTGTGTCATGCAAGGCCCAGAGCACAGCCCTCTCACCTTGAGTCAAAGATGGGAGGATTACAGTCGCGGCCTTGAGAGTCGGCCTTGAGGGCCCCCAGTAGAAGAGACGGGCGCCGCCATGAAAGAAAAGAACGGTTGGAGTTGCGGAACCCTAAGATGCTCGATCTTCCACCGGTGTGGGGGGAGGCCTTCTTCGACGCTGAACCAGGGGCGGCTAGACCACCAGGTGTTCGTACCTGGCGCTCAGCTTGTGCCCGGTCCTTTGAGCAAATCCAATGCGGTCAATGTTTGTGCATCAAACAAGTGAGATCTCCGAGTTCGACCTTGTGGAAGAATGAAAACAGACCAAAACCCAGTGGGCCAGGGTGTCTCCCACTTCAACAGCCGAGATCTTGTAAAGACTTTCTGGAAGAATGAACGTCGACGTCGACCGTCTAGAGCCAGTCGACCGGGCGAACCGGGTGAGCCCCCCCATGTTGAACCCAGTTCACTGGGCGAACCCTTTCAAACTGTTCTTCAGACACCTTTAGACGCTGGTCCAGGCCACGGAGGACTTGCTTGGTCTGACACCAAAGGACGCTCTCCCCCTCTGCGCAGCCGCATGGCTGTGCCCGGCTGATTCTATTGGTTGCCTATGACTGTTGGGTTTGTCTAACATGACCTGTAACAGGAAGCGTAGGCAGGTCTTATCGCACTTATTTTAAGGATGTCGGCCTGCAACTGAACCAACACCATCCACTGTTACTGGTAATGGGGTAGACCGGTAGACCCAATCTATCCCCCGTGAAAATCAACAAAATACGATTTGGTCCCTTTGGGTAGTCTACGTCCGGGGAAATCGCAGAAAATTCCCCGTTGGAAGGGAATTCGCGCACACATTTGTCGGGTCAACGCACGAACCTCCCAGAAGGCTTCACATTGCCCCCAGCCTTTCCTGAACAGAAACGACTTCAGTGCCCTATGCCGCCCCCCACTGCCGCCACGCGCGTGTCTCGACGCGGGGCGCGCGGACCAAAAGGGAACCCCCCGGTGCCGCGGCACCAGGTCTTTCGAAGCTCGGGCGCTTATGTGGGCCGCTTGGGGAGCGAACGACCGGGCTGACCTGACACGACCGGTACCGACGCACGGAGGGAAGGGGGGGTCGGAAGGGTCGGGTGTCTCACCGGCTCACCGGAGCGGCGCCGGCTCCACGGGAAGGGTCAGGAGCCCCGGTAGGGCGGGGGGCCGTGGACATGCGTCGGAGGTCTGGCCTTGTTGGAGGTGGTTCCTTGATCCCCCGCACCCGGACTTTCTCGGCTTGGGCGTGAATCAGTCGAAGTGGACTAAGGCCATCAGCCGCACATCTACGACAAGGGCTTCGGCCCGGCGTTAGCCGTTCGGACGTCAAAGTCGTCAAAGCGTTGTGGGCTGAAAATGGTTTTTAGAGGGCAGCGGCCGGGCCGATATTTCTGAAACAGCCGGAAACCAGTAGCTTTGGGGCTTCCAAACATTGGATGGATGAGTTGAATGGGAAGGAATTTGGAGGAAGAATCAGAAGTTTGGGCGGCTAACAACTGCGAAAACACATGTGGATCAACTTGGATCCTGGACTTTTGGGATCCTGGACCATTGTCGTTCCTATCCGAAAGAAGGAGGACCGAGGCCTGTCTTTCTGTACGTTTTCTTTGATCGCGCCCTGCGATGAGTGAGATAGGCTTCCAACAGTCAGTGTGTGTGAGCAGCTTGGTGTCTTGGGGTACAGGTTAGAGGATTCCGAGCCAAAAGTGGGAGCAGTCTGGCATTCCAAGAGAGGTTCAGTGACCTGAACTAGGACCTAGGACCCTACTCGGGCACCTGGTACCAATGGCTCTAGTCTATATATAGCATCCCTCAACCATATGGGATAGTCTTAATCCAATGTAGATATGGGATAGTCTTAATATATGGGATAGTATTATAATGTATTATATAATATATATATATAGCATATCCAATGGGATAGTCTTAATTGGTCCGTCTTGTCGCAAACAGGATGAGGTCCGGTGAAGTCGCGGACGTCCGGTCCGGTCGCCGTTTCTTCGTTCGATTTGGGTGCGAAGACGAAGGGAACGTCGAACATCACGTGCGAACAGGTCTTTGTTTCTCCATGTTTCCTTCAGATATCTTCAGCCCCTGAGTAGCCCCTCTCAACTTCCATCCTCTTCTGCCCCTCTTCGATCCTCCTCTTCCCCCAGCACCACACCGCAGAAGTGCAGGGCCCCTCCCTCCCTCCGCGCAAAAGAAAGTGGACCGAGTCACCGCGAGTCTCGTGAAGTCGCCGAGGTGAAGTTCTTCCAGTCGCGCCGCGCGACGACGGTCCTGGATTTGGGCGCGGGCGCCGGCTGGTACGTGCAGACGCTGCGGAAGAGCGGGATTCGGGCGGGCTGTGCCGATGGGAGCCTTTGAAGTTGAAGAGGGGCGGAAGGATGGGCTTTAGATCGGAGGAGGCGATGGAAGAGATGAAGAGGGAGGTGGGTGTGGTTTAAGGAGAAGAGCTGGAGCTGGTGGGGTGAATGGCTGGAAGGGACATGTGAAGCTAAGAGTTCTCTGAATGTATATATTTATAAATGATATATGGGATGTCTCAAAGAGCCCATGTTAGTTGGGAGGGTGCTCCTTGAAGTTGCCTTTAATGGCTGCCCTCCGTCAAAGCAAGATCTACACACCTCAGATCACCTCAGTACTGTGGGCAACCCGCAGTTTGGTTTTCGAAGATGGGAACTTCCTTTACCAGGTTGCTGTGTCCTGGCTTGGCAGGTCTCGTGGAAGAGGTCAACATGAACATTAGTCTATACCAGCACCCTCCAACAGGTCACCAATTGAAACCCGTTAGGGCCTAACAACCCTCCAAAGGAGACCTGCTGGAGGGTGCTGGTATAGCGCATCCGGTTTCGGTGTGTTCTTTTGAGACTTGCAGCAGTCTGGTGTAGTTTCGTTCATGGGCGGCCCCGCCTGGACGGTCTTGGAATGGATCCTGTGGGGTTTCTGCATTCTTTTGCAATGGATTCAAGGATTCAATGGTCCTGTATACCAGGACCCTCTTGGCCAGGGGCACCGGACTTGTCACCAGGAAGCACCTGTGAAGTCAGGTCCTTAAAAAACCAGGTGACTGTGCCGTATGTTCAGCGACGGGCCCGGACTGGGAAAAGCTGAGTTGGCCCGACAAATCCTAGAATTGGTTCAAGGAAATATCTACTGTACATGAAACCAACGGCTTTCATCCCCCAAACTATGGGTTTCTTGTAGATGCTCCCAAAAACCCATTCTGGAACAAATAGATTCAACGGACACATGCCAATCTCTTTCCTCAATGGACCACATGGAAGTAGAGGAGTCTTTGATGGTTTCTGGCGTTTGCCGGTTCTAAAGTTTCACACAAATTCCTAAGTCCCAGACACTCCATGTCTGGCATATTTACACGGTGAACCCCTTTTCCACCATCCCAATGCAAGTCCAAAACGCCAGTCTGGTCCCTTTTCCAGGTCGTGTCGACCATCTTGAGCCCCTCAGTCTCCCACGTCCGGAACCGGCGTCCGGCGTCCACCGGAACGAGCCGAAGCGCTTCGCCGCTTCGAAGGAATCCCTCCGTGCGGATGGTCTCCGAAAAGCGCTGCTGGCATGCGGACCTGAGTGCCTCGGTCGGACGAAGGTCGGACGGTCCTTAGGAAGCGTCACGAGAGCGCATACCGCACGGTGGAGGCGTTTGGCGTTTTTGAGGTGGGAGGCCATCGCGCCATCGGACGGAACAAGAAGCTAGGAAAAGTAGGTCAAGAAGCTACTAGTCGTGCCAGAGGAGATGGGATATAGCCCGATTTGGCGCGACGAGAGCCCTGGGGGAAGTCAATGGGAAGTAAGGAAGCTCCCTTTCATCAGATACAGGTCGGGTGATTGAACGGCTCCAAGAGGCTTATATAACAAGACAGGCTTAGAGGCTTAGAGGCTGGTTTCAATGAAGAACCCCTTCTCCCGTACCATCGGCTACCATGGTTTGCTTTGAGAGTGACCCCTGCTGGCTTTCTGCTAGGTTCCTGCAGACCTGCTTTGATTGACTCGGATATATAAACAAAGGAATCCTTGTTTCTGGGCCCTTCCTTCCTTCCTTCCTTCCTTCCTCCTCCAGTCCACCCCAGAATCGAAAAGAAAAGACACCGCAGCGGCACCACCGGCACCGGGCCAAAGCACCACGGCTGGCTCTCCACGGAATTCCCATGAGGTGAGGACTGGGACCTGGGGCAGCGCTGGAGCTGGGTGATGTCCATTGAAGTGGCCGAGCATGTGCCGAAAGCCTTTGAGAAGACCTACGTGGACAACCTGGACGACTCGAGACGCGAGACGCGCGAGACGCGAGACACGCGAGACACGCGAAACGTTTGCGGCCTCGAGCTCGGCCGGGTGTTGGAGGCTTCGGCAGCGACAGGTTGGTTCTAGGTCTTTTCGTTGAGCGGGGATGTCGCGGATGGCGCCATGTCTTAGGATGTCTTAGGTCCATGGGGCCGTGTCTTGCTCTAGGTCGAGTGGGATGAAAGGAGGGTCTTGGCTTCCAGCGGCAATGAAGCTGGTTTTTTCCGACATCGACCTGGACCAGGAACCCTTTGAGTTGGGTGGTGCATGGAGGTCCCCATTCGCCTGGAAGGGGCTATTATAATAGGAGAAACCCTGCGTTTCGGGGGGCTGAGGCTCTTTTGGTCGTTCTTCCTCAGTCCTCCCACTCACTAAGTGGAAGCTTGCTTTGTGGGAAGACGGTTTTCATGGGCCTTCCTGAAACCAAACCAGGTCATGTTGGATTCCTTTTCTTTCATCCCAAGCTTTGCTACGGGGTCTCCTCCCATGCCGCTTCATCGAGCCAACTCCTCGGGCGCGTTGCTTTTTTCTCGGGATGAGAGACACCGGCGCGTGGCGCGTGGCGCAGGACCGGCACAGCTGTGAAGGCTTGGTGATCTCGTGGGCTCCGCCCTTTCAGGCCGCCGAAGGAGCGCGGAAGGCGGCGCCACAGGAGCGAAGGAGCCACTGCCGGTGTTCGAAGCGGTGGTTTCGAACGAAACAGCGGCTGAGACAAGGAGTGAGCAACCTACCTGGAGGCCCATTCACTGGAGGGAACGCCCGCTACGGAGCAACCTACCCAGGAAAAGTGGATGACCTGCAAAACCTTTGTTGGGAATTGGTTTCCCCATGCACTCAGATCGAAAAAGGCAAACCTTTTTTGCAAGGGACCAAGGCAAAGGGTACCCAGCTGTAAGATGTTCGATGTTGCGGCCGTTTTTTGTAATAATATACTTGTAGGCTCGGTTTCCCGACCCCCAGTGAGGCAATGAAGGATCACGGGCTTTGATAGATGGCGAGTGTTGGTAATCTCTACATATATACCCTGGGAGTCAAAGACTATAACAAGAATGGTTTTGAAAGGGGACCTGAGTTCGGGAACTTCCTTTACCTCAGTCGGTCAATAGTCGAACTGGACTTCTAGGGTATATATACACAGTTCTTGGATCCTTCATGACATGGGATGTTATGAGTGTTGGGGAGGGTGTCTAGCAGCTAGCAGAGACAACCTTTGAACGCATCCCCTTGGGTCACCATGCTGGGTCGAGGATGGTGTAAGGATTGGAGGATGAAACCGCCGATTTTGAGTGATTTTGAGTGATGGAGTCGCTCGCAGCTGAGGGTGTTCCAGATCTCCTCAACGTAGAATGTTGATGAATCAACGCCCCCCATATTAGAAGAGGTTTTTCAGTCCAAATGGCGGGGGTGCTGATAAATCAACCTTCTACAATAGCAGTGTAGATCTGCACAGTCCATAAGGGTCTTGAAGAAGAAAGCACCAAGTCAGCCTGCTTCCCTGAAGTGGTTTCCAAGACATTGCCGTGGTGGGGTCTGTGATGTATATGTCCACCAGAGACCTTCAGCCGCTGCCAGTTTTTGCACGGCTGGTCTCGGCGACGGAGGTCCAGTAGTGTAAATTATGGTAACCCAACAGCCCTTGGTCCCTCCAAACCTAGGGATTTGAGATCCCAGACCCCTCCATATGAGATCCCAGACCCCTCCATATGAGGGTCCACTAAAGTACCAAGGATTTGGCACCGGAAATCGAGACCAACCCTTTCAACAGCATGGTCTCCGACGAAACAGGAAGGGTCGAATGAGAGACTGTGATTGAGAACACTCAGTCCTGGTGAACCCCATGGTCCAGTCTTTTCATTGTCTTTGGATGTCTTTGGACGATTCCAACAACGGCCCAGAAGGTGATTGGAGACCATTGATGTAGGCGGGGTCGGGCCATGTCGTACCTCCCGAGAAGGTGGCAGTGGATTTTCAAGGTACAACAGCAGCAGCCACTGCTGTTGGTCGCTGCTGCTGGTTGTCTGGATGAACGGCGCTTCGAAGCCGCCCTCCTGCCAGGCCGGCGGAGGCCATGTGAACTGGAAGACGCAGGCCTTTTTGACCCGCCCGCATCGGGTTGGTGGAAACGGTTTGAACCGGAGTGTTTGATGGGGTTGGTGGTGTTTTTTTATGGGGTATACATCGGTATACCTACATATCAACATCCCAAACCAGGACACCCGGACCAGGGGTTTCTATTGATAGCTCCGAAAAGAGGTGATTCGGGGTGTCCATGAACCACCCCGACCGTGGGTCCTGGAATAGATAGAAAAGCAGATCCCCACTAAAAATGTATGGGAACAGAACGGAAACTGTGCCACTGTCCATTTGGGGGCCACTATACCTGTCCGACCTGTGCCCAGAAAGACTGGGTTTGCTAGCGTTAGTAGACACGAGTTCCACTTATAGCCAAAAAAGATTCCTCTTGACCTGGACCAGCCTGGTTGGGTGTCCTGTCTGGAGATTGATTCGTGTTTTTATGTGTTTTTGCAATCATTGGGCACTGCAAGAGGGGTTAAGAGGATGGTCCTTTTTATAGTTGCTTTATGATCTAAAGGAATCATATTTGTGCAACATGCTTGAGCTCGTGCTTGGAGCTCCTCTGAACCGAGACGTGCTATGCAGTTTGGCATTGAAAGCAACCTAGGGGAAGGTCATCCTGCTGAATTTGCTTATTAGGAACAAGAAGCTACTAGGAAGTAGCTCCTGGCATGATACTACTAGTAACAAGGGGCACTGCTATCCTAGTAACAAAGCTTGCCTTTCAATTCCCTTTCCGGGCACCCACGAGGCCCACATGGGATGTATGGATGATAATCACCTGAAAGGAGAGTGAATGACCAATAGATCCAATATGATCCAATAGTCCGCAGAAAGTGTCCAAACTTTCTCTTCATTCCCCTTCATTCATGTTCATTCCTTCATCTGGAAGAGGCCCAGTTAGACCATACTTTTCCTCAGCGAAGTGTTGAAGGAAGTTGTCCCGGAATCGGGGCACCCTAAATGACGAAAGAGTCGACTCTTCTCGTTGGACGATGGACGGTGACCATTTGTTGCTCAAGGTGGACTGCCCAGTGCGCACCGCCCGCCAAAAGAATCGATTGACATCGATTGAATAGGTTCGATCTACTGGTGGGGGCTTCATGGTGCTCGCAAAAAACCAGAGGTGCCTGGCCTTCTCAACAGCAAATATCAGCGGCCTCAGTAGATCCTGACGAGCCTTTTGGGTCATAGGACCGCTAATCTCACACCCTCCACCCTCCAGTCCAGTCCTCCGCGCCTCTTCAGAGGCGGAAGTGGAAGCATTGCTGAAGCCGCGAGGCTTCTGGCACAATCAAAGCGCGACGACCTGGCTACGAGGCGAGCACGGACCCTCGGAGTTCGGACCCTCGGAGGAGCTCGGTCCGAAGGGAGCTGGGACAGGCTCGGCGGCCCCAGAGATCCAGCGTGCGCCCCGAGGACGACGGATGACGGCTTCCTCGGCCTTCCGAAGCGCGGAAGACGGACTTCCAAAGGGCGGTGACAAAACCACCTGAACTGCCAAAGAACCAGAAACCATGGATGTTCCAATATGGCAAGTGAAATCCTTTACATACCCCTGGATCTTCGAACCTTTGGCATCCTTTGGCATACTTTTTTAGAAATGAACAGGCAGAAATGGGTCTCAGTTGGAAGATCCAGGTATAGGAAATGGCTGGGACTGGGGAGTTCCATCAAATCGTCGCCTCCCCAGCTGCTCTTCTCTGCTCTTTCCTTCGCTTCCCCGGGTCGGCGACGGAACCCGCGGGTGGCGCGGGGCGCGCGCCACACGCGGGCAGGGCATTGTCACCACTGGTGGATCCAACGGAATGTCATGGTCTTCGAACGGCGCACCGCCGAGCTCCACGAGTGCCGGTAAAAAAGAGACGCCGCCCGTGTATCGGCGGGCCTTGTCCGACGGGGAAGGCGGCGCCGTGACGTGTGGGCGCCTCCGGGTGACACCGCGCGGTGTGGGGGCGGGTTTTGGGGGTTCCCACTCTGGGGGTTGAAGTGGAGGGTTTTGGTTGGGGGGAGGTTGGGGGAGGGAAGTTCGAATGGATGGAAATCGGAAAAACATGAAAAGCTGCAGGAAGGAAGCCAATTAGGGAAAACATGTGACATGGGAAAACGATGGAAAACGAAGAGGCACTTGGGCAATGGGGAGAGCTGCGACTCATGTGAACCAGGAAACCGGAAACATTGGAAACCCTGAAACTAGCGGTGAAACCAGTACAGACACCATGCATCCCCCAAGCTGCTCGCACAAAAATCATATCACCCATTTCTGTCACCAGTGCAGTAACCAGTCTGTGACTCTGCATGCTCGACTCGAGTGGAGGAACTCCGAGCATGAATAACTGAAGAAAGAGATGAGGTTGACCAGGGAGGTCGATTTCCGGGTTTGGGGGCTCAGCTCTTAGTATCTCTTAGTATCAATTGTTGGCTGTCACTGGTAGAGGATCGAGGTGCTCAGCCACCAATGTATGATAATGCACGAGTCCTTATTCAACTCAGCATGATGAGTTCAGCCAACATAGAGACACAGAAACAGGAGATCGAGGGGAATGCTTGGAAAGATGGACGTCTATTCATGGCCCTGGTACACTATAACTATAACTTCAGACTTCATCTGAAGCATGAGGATGCATGAGGTAAATCAGTATCAAACCGATCAAACCTGAGTTTGGCCTACCCTGGTTGGGCATGCTGAAAGCAAAACAGCTTATCTATAAGATTTTATTTGTAATTACGGTAGGTTTGCATGGAGTGTTCAAGTAGCCACCCCCCCAAAGTGACCTGCATGAGCTTGTCAAACATCTACACCGCACCAGCGTGGGCGTGAGTCTAAGATCGCTCAGTGCCTGAAATGAAGGGCTTAGTACCTTGTTGTACCTCGTGTGCATACATGAGGCACAGATTTATCCACCATAGACCAGCATCCTCCTAACAGGTCTCTTCGTTCGAGGCTTAGGGAAGGGCCCTAATACTAACAGGTCTCCGTTGGTGACCTCTTGGAGGATCGGATGCGATACCTGGAAAACCTGAATGACCTCTATTTTGGACCACAAACCACCTGTTTTTCCCATCAAAAACTCAAACAGAGTCAAACGGGTTCCAGGCGTATATATATATATATATGCATATGTAACAGAGACCTCCGATTCTCCGCTAGCGGCCGAGAACCGGCTGAAGCCTCTTTTCGTCCCGTGACTCAAGGAGCGACGGGCGGTGGAAAAGCGCACGTGGTTTTCCGGCAGCGGAAGAGCGCTGGCCATGGGGACGACGTGGAGCCGCGGCGGAAGAAAGAAAGGTCCTAAGCAGAATTTACAGAAGCGGCTGTCCTGCAGCATGGACGTTGTGCCCGACATGCCGGGTGACTTGGAATGAGAGGGTCGGTCCAACCGGTATGAGACGATCAAGCTTCTGCTTACCGGAGCCAACCGGTAAAGGCTTGAAGTCAATCTTAAATGATTTTTCAATGTTTTTAGTACTGAGACTGTTATAAATCATTAATTGTTATTTATCAGTGATCACGCATTTTTTAATCATTATTTAAACATGTATAGACACATGCACTTATAAAGGCGCTTGCTTGGTGCTCTCCAGAAGGGTGCGAGCCCACAGACGTTCCCTGTAGGACACTCCACCAAGTTGTTTTGCCGGACAAGCTGGCGATCTGCGTTTTCGGGTTGGTGTTGTGTTGTCTTGACGCTGCCAGTGTAGCACCACCCAGACCTGGGTAGGCCCCGCTCACCACGCAATTTTCATCCGAGAAACACCCCAAGTTACTCACTCACACAAGGATAGCCCTGGCTCAGGGCCAGGCTGGCCCTGACAGCGGAGTTGAACCAATCGCAGGCAGTCGCAGCACCTGCTGCGACAGGATGTCGTGAGGCGTGAGGTCCATGCCAGGTCCATCCACTCAGATGGCTTCGACTTGGAGCCGTCGGAGTGGATGTTCACCACCACCCAGTCGGTGGTGAACATCCACTGGCCGCCCCACTGGCGAGCTGAGTCAGCCACCCTCCAGGCCCTCAAACCAAAGGGTCCGGGCCCTCGGTCCGGACTCGGTGGTCGAGGTCTTCGGGTCCAGCCCGAATGGGAGGGCCCAAGGGATTCATAGGGCTTTAAGCCATACTACCACCCACCCAAGGGTGGGATTCAGATCGAACATCCCCCCCCCACCCTTACCTCAGACTCCAACTGCGGACAGAGCCAGCGCCCGGCGAGGAAACCGTTTCTCGGTTTCAACATGTTTCACCGCTAGATCCCGATCAAGTCGAGACGTTTGGGTCAGAGCTCTGAGGATCCTTCCTCCCTTGGTCCAGCTGACTCGATGTGAGGCGAACTATCTTGGGGCTCCAAGCAGAAGAACAGAGTGAAGAGCACCAACAGCAGCAGCAGCAAGACAAGCCAGAGAAGCAGTGCCAACAGCCCGCATCGGAAAGCTGTCGAGGACGTTTCTTTTTTTTGCTTCCTCCCACGTCAAGACTTCTTCGCCTTGGGACCCAATTGCTCAGTTGGTTGGGCACCATCTGTGGGTTCCCAGCTGTGGGTTCTCAGCTGGTCCTTTGATATCCTTTGGTTCCTATATCTGGCGACGGCCACGCTCCACACGCCGCGTTTGCTCCACAAACGCCCGTGGTTAGTCCGTGCGGTTTCATCAGCAGAGGTCGGAGCTGGCCCTTCCCAGCACTTTGAACTAGAAGCACCCGACTTCGCAGGTCTCCTCATGAGAAAGGGAAGCTTCAGAAGGGCCCTTAGGAAAAACACAGGGTCTTCACCGGACCTGCCAAAAATGGATGGAAGATGGAAGATGGTGAAATATGGTGAAATAGATCGAGGTATATGCCCCACCACACGCAATCATCGCTTGGATGCCGCGGTTCTCGTCGGGCGTCGGGCCGGGCGAGAGCGTGGGGCGACTCCTTCTGTTGGGCCAATGATCCCCACCGCCAGCGACCCGGGTGGTGCTGGGGTGCCAAAAAGGCGAACTAGTGAGCTGGGAAAAACATGACGTGTACTGTCACTGTTTGATATTGTTTTAAGCTGTTTTAAGATCTGGAATCTGAGCTTTTGAAGGTTGGATGACTTGTTTCCCGCCTAAGCAGCAGGAGTCTTGGTGGTTTGAAGCTATATGTTCAACGTTCATCCCCTGAGGAATCAATTTTTGGGTGGCTGGCAAGTAGGTTGCCACTCCCTTCAAGCAGCCACACTGGAGATAAACATAAACACCCCAAATTGGATATCACACGCCGGATCCTTTGCATCCTTCATTGGACGCTCCACCTCGGCTCCGACCGTTCCCTCTTCTCCGATGGCCCGATGCCCTCCGTCGGCCGCAGGAGCTTCCCCAAGGGATCGGCTCCGAGCTGCAGCGGGCCACCTCCAAGATGTCTCACTCCTCCCGAGGAGAGCCTCTTGGACGAGCCGGGTGTCACGGCGAGACACGGGACGCGGCCGAGTGAGCAACGGCGAGACACGGGACGGCACGTGGTGGGAAGCGTTGGTTTTGGGTTCCCGAGCAGGGGCATGGCGCGGTTCTCACGGGAATAAGACCGTTACATCAAGACATGGCAGAAGGTGACATTGTCCTGAAGCTTGAAGAATCGTACTTGAAGTATCTTGAAGTGCGGTTCTTCATGGTTCTTCAAAAGGCACTGTTTAGTTGGGTTGGGTGAGGCAGACAGGGATCAGGATCCTGGTTTCAAAGGTTCCAGACGTTCCAGACAGGTCTTGGAGGGATGATGGTTTCGAGATGGTGTCTGATTTATCGCTTTGGGATGATTAAATGATTAAATTAAACCCAGCCAGTGACTCATATTTTGCAAGGGAGTTGAACCCACCAAGCAGCCAGATTTGGGGCATTGGGGCTCATCAGAATATATCACCCAAGCTTTTCTCGAACGAAGGTGTCACATGTGGAACGGCGCTGTTCCGGCGGCTGCGCCGGGATCGGTTTCCTCTTGTGTGGACTGACTCCAGCGAAGGACGAATGGACCGGCAGCCACTGGTCAATCCACGCGGCTCAGAAAAACCATCGATCATCGGGTCAGTCGGTCAGCAGGCGCGATGAGTCCAATCTGACGCTTTGCAGGTCAGGCCGTGCATCAACTCATGGTGTCCAGGTCGGAGTCCATGAATGCTTCTAAGCAAGTTGTGCATTTGGTCCTCGCCACTGAAGGACAGAAGGCTGATCCAAGCATCAAAAAACCGCGATTGGATCGCCACTAGACACTAGACTCAGCTTCCATGATCTGTACCGAACCCGGTCGCACGGACCACCAAGGCAAAGCCCCGGCCGCTCCATCATCAAGAACAGCCACGGCTTGAGCCACCTGGCAGGATCCGCGTCTCACCGCCGCGGGGGGGCCGAGCCCGGCTCGCCCAGTCTGAAAACACAGCTTCGATCCGGCCCATGGAACAAGTGATTTTTAAGAACCGAAGAATCAACCAAGTCGGGGGGGTGTCAAATATTTTGGGTATATATATAAATTATAAAAAAATATATATTTTTTTGGGGATTGTCTGTTGTGACATGGAAGGCTAGAGGTGCCCCCTTATCCGCATCTGGATCATGTTTTGCTGATGCGGCTTGGGTCCGAAGAGCTTCTGTCTTGAATCTGTGGAACTTTTGGGGAGCCATCAAGTTGCTTGGAGAGACGTGACGCGTGCCATCCATATCAATGCCCCTGCGGCATGGCCGGCTCCTTCTGGTGGCCTACCATGACCCCGACCCCGGCCCTACCGGGTCGTCGCTTCGACTCGCGACTCGGTGACCTGGAAGGGAACTTCCGAAGATCTGAAGAGTTGTGCCACCAGCTGGTTTTGATATGTTTTTGATCAATGATTCCATGTGCCATGCGCAGGTCACTTCTCTCTTTTTTGGGGGGGCTCTATAATTATATATGCATAGGGTTTTTGACGTTTATCAGAATAGGTTGTTTCAGACAACCTCTTGGGAAAAGTCAATTCCAAACACTATCAAACACTTGAAGTGACCCGGCACACGGTGCTAGAATTAGATCTATCTGTATTTCTCGTGTTCTTTTGACTTCGGGAGGGAGATCACCTGAACACCCCCGCTTGCTTGGTACGATGCTATAGTGACCAAGATTGCCCAACCAGTTCACCCGCTCCGAAGTTCATCCTCTCCTTCGTTCCTCACTCACATCTCGCACAGACATCTCGGATGCACTCTCGCTTGCATCTGTGCTTCCCTTCAGCCAACGCCTGTTCCATCTCGCATCCTGCCTCGCGTCGCATCCTCGGTCCACGTCCTCTTCTCATCGACCAGGCGCCCCTCCAACCGTCAGGGGGGCCCTCCAACCGGTCGTCTTCGGGGAACCATGGAGCCCCATGCGGAACCTCTCGAGACCAAGAGAGGCGGACAGTGACCTGAACTAGGACCTGAACCCGGGGTACCGAACTGGGATAGTCGAACGTTCGGGTCCTTCAAACCTTTGTTGGTCCGACTCGCGGCCGCGCTGAGGAAAGTCCGTGAGCTTCGGCCCGGAGGTGCGCGAGGAGACCGCGCACGCCGCGACGCGGACGCGACGCGACGCGGTCGGTGCGCGAGGAGACCGGGCTCTTCCGTCGGGCGACGCGACGCGAAGAGTCCGTGGGATCGGGTGGTGAACTCGTGCGCGGAAAGAGAAGGAAGCGCGAGAGAAATAAGGGGAAGGGAGGATAGGGAGGGCGGATCTCAGATCACTTCTTCCTGGCTTTTGCGGATCAGGTGATCTTTTTAACGTTGTAATGTCCGCCTCCTAATAATAAACCCCCCCTCCCCCCTTGATGAAGTGCGGGCCCCAAATAATGTGAAATCCAGAAAAATCATAGAACATCTTGATTTGAATTGGAAATGACATGAAAGGAAAGGACAATGGAAAGGAAAGGAAAGGAAATGAAAGGACAATGAAAGGAAAGGAAATCACGAAAAGAACCAGCCAGGGATTGTTTTATTTGAGGTCTGGAGTAATTGAAGGCTTGGGCTGCTCGTGGGGGGTGGTCTTTGTGGGTTGATTTCAGGTTACAAATGGCATGCCCAAATAGGCATTTTAAAAGGAACATGCAGCAGCCAAATCAAAATTCCAGAGTAAAGGAAACCACAACATAATCAGGTTTGGAATCAGCTGAAAGTTCAGAATCAGCTTGGCTGAATCAAGGTCTGGAAGCAGCTGAAGATCAGAGTCCATAAAATTTTTGGTATTATTTGAGGGCCATTTATTATTGGTTTTTGAAAAGATTTAGTATTATTCACGGGCCATTTATTATTATGAGGTCAACATTAGGTAGATCTCCTTCTGGGGAATATGTTGAATTTTTTTCCAGGCTCCTGGACAGCAAATCCAATAGTGTTGGGTGTGGATTAGAATGGGGAGACCCCTCGTCTAGAGCCCCTGCTTGGTAGGGGGTATGAAGCGGTGCACGCCAAGATGCCTGGCGCTAGCTGGGTCAGACCATGCTGATCCATGCTGTTTGTGAGGAGGTCCACTATCCGCGCCCGGCACCCTCTCCGTCCCGCCCTGGCCCAGTGTGAAAAAAAAGTCTGGCGCTAGCCGTCTTTGGCCGAACCACATGAACCAAGGGCGCAGGACGAAGCTGTTCGAGGCCATGCCCCATTCTGGACTAAGAACTGTGGTGAAAGTCTCTTCAAAGTCGTGACGCCGTGACCTGAGGATCCTGATAGGTGGGGGGGGGTCCTTCTTCACGTCATCACCTCCCCCAAACGCTTCCAGACGGTCCAAGGGAAACCACGCCAGGCGGTCGGGTAGGCGGCAGAACTGGGCACCTGTGGCAGGGAAGTGGAAGCAGTCGCATCCACGGACAGTCCGCAGAAAACACCTCGGCCAAAACGACCCAACCACTCAAAAAGCCGCCGCAGCGAAAAAAGGATGTAACCGCCCTGTCTTCACAAGGCTAGCTTCATTGAAGGCTTTTCAGGTGTAATCACCTTGTTCCCGCCATGGCTGGGAGCCCAGACCTCGTCCTTCGAACTCCGCAGGAGTTCGGGCAGCTGGGTGATTCGATGGCAGCGACGACCGAGCTCGACCGTCAGGCCCAGACCTAAGAACCATCGAACCCAGACACGACCCAGACGGGACTGCCATGGACTGCCGCAGAAAACTCCTGAAATCAACCACCCTAGTGATGATTGGCCGGCAGTCCATGGAGTGTTTGGGGAAGAGTTGATGATAATGTTGCAGATAGTTGCATACATTTGGGTCATACATGGGGTGAATGTAATATATAGTATATACCATTGATATACCCTATAGACTCGAAGTCGTGGCCCGCCATTTACTTAATACCCTGAACCCCGAACCACCATTGTTGTACTAGGGATTTCACTACATAACCAGATCAACCATTTGCCTGGTCTTGGACTTCCAAGATGGATGGTTTGGGATGCTCGCCTTTTCCTCATAGACCGTCATAGACCATTATTTGAGGAAAGCAAACAGGACATGCATGGTACGCAAAACGACTGCGCAGCAGCATGCGGCTGAACGGCACCACCGTGACCTGTGACCAGTGTGGTGTGTCAACGTTCTGCGACAGCGACAGCTCTTGTTGCATTTGGAGCTTCCATGACCTCAGTTCGTTGAAGAGGCTTGTGTTCTTGACATCGCCGATGTCGCCGTTCTTGAAAGGACAATCAAATTAGGTGTGTCAACTTGAATACATTCTGCCTCTACAACCGACGAGCTTTTACACGGGGAAGTTGTTCTACAGATTCTCAAGGTTCCCCACCTCATGGATCCTCACACTTGTTTCTTTATGGAGATCAGGACCATCCCAGGAGCGTCCAATAGACCACCCTACTGGCCCTACTGTATAGGGATCTAGTAGATGGACACTCTTTGGACACTCTAGGGTTGTGATCTTGAAAGCCTGCACAGAGCCTTCCGACTTTCGGAAATTCAAAAAACAAAAAAACAAACCCATGACTCAACCAAATACTCAAGACAAAACACAGATTCAACGCGCAAATCAGGAAACAAAACAATCCATCACCCAGCACAAAGCTTCAAAGAAATCAGCAAAAAAACAAAACACTACTCAGCATTGAAAGCCCAGCATTAAGAGCGTGTACAAATCTGTAACTCTAATGGTCATTCTTGCTTGGCATTGAGCACATTTTGGCTCAAAAACAAGAGTCAGAGTGGACAACTTTGCCGGGGAAGGATGTCTTCGTCTTCTTGGGAAGAGGCCTCTCAAGTCTTCTTAATTTCCAGTCAAGCAGAATCAGATGAGATTGAGGAAGCTTGTGCTATGAGACGGTCCGGGTCGATGGAGCTAGAAGCAGAAGCACTTTCCGACACCGATGATTCTTTGAAAGAAGTGCTAGCACCAGAATTGTACTGGTTGAAACCATTGCTCAAGTGGATGGAGCAACATGTCGACCGACAAGCACTACAGAAGATCCGAGTCATTTCTGCGTGTTCAGGGACACTGGCAGAAGCTACCGTTTTGAAGGACAAGTGTGTGAGAAACAACTTGTTCAAAGCTGGTTTGGTGTGAGTGACAGCTAGCAGCTAGTAAGGCTAGCTGCTAGCTAGTGACTAGTGAGGGTAACTAGTTACGTTTCGATTCTTCTCAGATAGGTTTGCTATCCCTGAGTTGGTATTTTTTGACTACAGTGACCAGAGTACTAGAGTCACCAGAGCGTAACTATGACTGCTGTTGTAGAGTTAGAGTGCCTTTGAAGTAGGTCGACAAATGATTGGTCAATCATGATGGCTGTTCGCAATAAGACGCCGCGATGCAATGTTGTATCACATATGCATATATATATATAATATGGTGTAACATAGTATATACCAGACCATAGCATAGAACATCGAAGCTTCATTTCAACCTTGCTTCGCGATCAGGCATTGGGCATCCCTTTCGAAATTGAGACTGCTTCAGATTCCTCAGCAATGGTGCGCACTTTCATATCTCAGAACCACCAAGTGGGCCATTTGCATCAGCAAATGTCTCATCAGTACTCACAAGGCCGACGGTGTTGTTTGCACAATTCCTCAAACACGCCATGTCAGGTCGCACCACAAGCAGACATGTTTGTGGCAGGTGTGCCATGTAAACCATACTCAACTCAAAGAGCCAAGCGTTTTGACAGTGGATCAGTCAAGGGGCATCGAAACCATGACACTCTCTTCGTGGAATTCTTAGCCTGGCTTGACTTCCATGACCCACGCTCTGGAATCTTGGAGAATGTGCTGGGGATTGATAAACCGGAAGATTCTGGCACTAAGACTAGGAGCGCCAGTCCTTTGGAGATGCCCCTCGCATGTCTTTTTGTAAGAATTGTATTCCTTTTGTTTATTCCTTTTGTGATTTCAACTTCACACTTCCCGTCCTTGATTACTGGAAGACAATTTAAGGTTGCTGGAAGTTGTGGAGAACTACGAATGGATGAGGGCCAGTGGCTTCTATGTTCTGCCATTCAGAATGGACCTGGCTTATTGGATTCCACTGCGCCGTCCGAGGCGTGCCTGTCGGGGTCAGTTGAGGGCTGTGTGCGAAAGCCGTTCTTCGCTACCTTTCCAGTATTTTCCATGTCTTCTTTGGACAGGATGGGCTCAAATCGGCTCAAAGTCATTCCATTCAGTCCGACAACGGTCACTAGTGACTAGTGCATTGAACATGAAACCATCTGAATTGCGACATTGCCATGGAGCCATATGCTATAGTCTATTCAGCAAACTTGACCACAGACAAACAGGACATACTTGAAGACATGCCTTCAAATGCGCATGATGATGGATGGGCCGCTGCTTCATCGGCCTACCAAAGCGCAGGAGATGGCTCTGACTCAGCACTTGCACTTGCAAATGCTCCATGCTTCTTCACGCCAAGACCAAAAGGCCGTCCCAAAAAGCCTATCATCCCAGGTCCAGTTCAAGATTCACAGGGTGAATTGTCAATTGTGGCACTCTCAGACTGGGCTGGTTTCAAGTTGCCGGAATTGAAATTTCAAGAAACTGAGACAGATCGTTGTGCAATCACAGTGCTTCCGACAATCCAACGCCAGCTCTTGATTCAGGGACAAGGGTTGGCTTCCACAGGGTCCTCTGAAGGGCCTGCTGCAGGGGATGAGGTTTTGGACACACTGTTGAAGTATGTGGACAATGCCCTGCACCCTTCCAAGCCACTTGCCTCCAAGACAATGCTTGCAAGCGTTCTGGGAGGCCCCGATTATGAGTACCAGGAAAAAGTGGCGGCTGTATTGCTTGAATCAGGGCATGGGCAGTGGAGCATGTTGTTGAAGCGATGCAATGACCTCATCAAAGCAGGCAAGTCTACTGGACTACTTTTGATCAAGCAAAGGTTCTATGATGAGACGCCTTTACGACTCAGAAGGTTCAAATCAGACAATCATCCAAGCCTCAACAAGCTGCTTCAGAGTCATTTTCACCTTGGCATTGTGCTCCAAGACCAAAGTTCAAAGGAGATCACCTTTTACCATGGGGCAGTTCCAACATGGCTGCAGGGTCTTGCAGAGAAAAATGGGGAACATATCATGGAGGCTCAGCTTGCACTCGAAAACAGCGTTGTTGTGCTACAGGAGTCTAGCTTACTCTTCAATCAGTGCATACAGTTGACTACTACTGATCGTGATGGCTCCAATCACAGGGCAGAAGCTGGCATCAACAGACTGAAGCCCGAGTGGGACCTGATGCACCTACCCTGCGATGTTCACAAGGCTTCTACAGCGACCAACAATCTCTTCAAGCTCGTTCCGAACATGGTCACAGGCATTGTGAACTTCGGGTTGCTTCTCCGTATTGGTGGATCTGTTCAGAAGTTTCGGAGATGCATCAGAGATGAGATTGTGTCCAAGCTTAAAGTGATTGTCGCTCCTCCACCCGATGGCTATGTCCAGGATTACAGGCATCAAGTCTATGCAACGTATCTTCAAGGCAATTGCAGCAATGAAGATGCTTTGTCCAGGAACCAATTCCTACGTGTACGCCAGATTGAGGTCCTGAACTTTTTCCTGAACGGGGATTTGCAAGACACAAATTGTATTCAGTGGTATGCTCCTTATGCCATCAAACATGAAGATGCTTGCAAGCTCTTGTGCAGATATGTTCCGTTCGCACTCTTGCCAAGGGGGGTGAGTGTTTTCCCAAGGCATCGATGGCATGGCTGCGAGATTCCAATAGATCAGCTAGGCCTTCTTGCTGCGCACCACAATTTGCTGAAGAGCGCGTGTCTGCGATACTTAAATGACTTCTCAGACAAACCTGCCTCCTCAGTGACCCAACTAAGACCAGCGACAGGTGAGGGATGGGAGCAAGCTGCAGAGTCCTTTGTCCAACACGGTCCGCAAACAGACTCAGTGGAAGGGAATTTAGTCCAGTTGGAAGCTGGTGCTGACTTGCCGCAGCAACCAGACGAAGCTTCCGCTGTAGGTGGCAAGCCCACGAATTGGGACGAGTTCAACCGTTCTGTGCGCGCTCGCGTGAGAGAGTTTGTGATGCAGGATGACAGCTTTTGGCTTCCAATCTTGAGATTCGCCATTTCACCATTGATTGGTCTAATGTTTGCTTTCCTGAAGCTCTCAGGCCAAGAATGGGAGAATGAGCAAGAAGAAGAATTATTGCGAAACGGGAGTCGGAACTACAGAATCCTAAAAGCTCTTTTGGGTGAGGATTTGGAAAATGCATTGAAAGACTTGTTCAGCAGGTTACACTCTCCAATTCCTGCCTTGCCGCAAGTAGCTCACAACCGTCGGAGTTGTATACTTCTATTCAGATTGATTGCGCGAGCTGCAGGGTCGTTGCATTGCCTCCTTCGAGTTGTCCAATCTGGTTTCCCTTACAAGCTGTTCTGGATTTTGTTGGGCAAGGCTGGTGAAGTGACTGATTCGAGGACTTGCCTCCAAGACCCAGTCACTAAACAGTTTGTCGCCAAGTTTGGTGCTAAAGGATTAGATTGTCTTGAGGCTCTTGCTTGCCTTCACAGTCTGGCTAGCATGGCACTTGTTGACATAGCGCAAGTCGAGGCACGACATGCAACCATCCGCCGGACATTGGAATTCTGCTC